TCACACAACTCCGGGCAGGGAGGCAGCGAGAGCTCTAATGGATTTACACCAGAGAGGGAGGCGTGTTTCCGACTACGCCGTGGAGTTCCGCACTTTGGCTGCTGACAGCGGCTGGAATGATTCATCCCTCTTCGACGCTTTTCGCCATGGGCTGTCTGGCCCCATCAAGGACCAGTTGGCTCCTCTAGAGCTTCCCTCTGACCTGGATAGTTTCATTGCTATGGCAATAAGAATTGACACTCGCCTCGTCGAGAGAGAGAGGGAGAAGTCGAGAGCTGTGTTTTCTCCGCCCGGTCAGAGAGGGCAGTCTCAGGCCAGTCCCTTTTTCCCCAAGCAGCGTTTCCAGACAACCGACTCTCCAGCGCCGCCTACTGCCCAGGAGGAACCCATGCAGTTGGGTAGAGCAAAGCTGACTCCTGAGGAGCGCCAGCGCCGCCTACGGGAGGGGAGGTGCATTTACTGCTCACAGAAGGGTCACTTTGTAGCCAGTTGCCCAGTAAAAGACCAGGCTCATCAGTAAGTAGGAGGGTTCTGGTGAGCCGAACTGTTTCTTTTTGTCCTTCTCGTACTCTCACCTCTGCTCAGCTAATTACTCCTACTCAGACTTTGTCTCATGCTGCTCTAATTGACTCCGGAGCAGATGAGAGTTTCATTGATTGGAGATTAGCCAAGAGACTTGGACTTAATTTTGTTCCCCTGTTGAGGCCTCTTGTAGCAAGGGCTCTGGATGGACGTTTATTGTGTCGAGTCACCCACCGTACTCAGCTCCTTCAACTAATCATTGCTAATGGCCACACTGAATCCCTGAGTTTTCATCTTTTTAACTCTCCTTCACACCCTCTTATTTTGGGCTACCCATGGCTGGTAAAACACAATCCCCACATGGACTGGTCCACCGGGAGAGTTTTGGATTGGCATAGGGATTGCTTGGCCACATGTTTTCCTTCTGCCCCTGCTCCTGAGAGACCTCTGCCCTCCACCCATGTGACTGTTGCCCTGACTACTGCTGTGTCTACCCCTCTCCAAGCTGCAGCGGACTCTGATTTTCCGGATCTTAGCAGGGTGCCCACCTGTTACCGGGACCTGAAAGAGGTTTTCAATAAGACTCGTGCTTCCACCCTGCCTCCCCATCGACCCTATGACTGCTCCATTGACTTGTTCCCCGGGACCTCTCCCTCTAAGGGACATCTCTACTCCCTGTCAGGCCCCGAGAGGGAGACTATGAAGAGATACATTGACTCCTCCCTTGCTGCCGGGATAATTCGGCCTTCCTCCTCTCCGGCTGGAGCAGGCTTCTTCTTCGTTGACAAGAAGGATAAGACTCTTCGTCCATGTGTCGACTACAGAGGGCTAAATGACATTACCATAAAGAACAGGTACCCCCTTCCTCTTATCTCTTCAGCATTTGAACTATTACAGGATGCAAAGATCTTTTCTAAACTTGATCTTCGTAATGCTTATCATTTGGTTAGGATAAGGGAGGGGGATGAATGGAAGACTGCTTTCAACACCCCTAGTGGCCATTACGAATACCTCGTAATGCCATTTGGGTTAACCAATGCTCCAGCTGTTTTCCAGGCTCTGGTTAATGATGTTCTCCGTGACATGCTCAACCAGTTTGTTTTTGTCTACCTCGACGACATTCTCATCTTTTCTCCGGATGAGACGACCCACATTCAACATGTCCGCCAGGTGTTGCAGCGTCTCTTGGATAATCTACTCTTTGTGAAGGCAGAGAAGTGTGAGTTCCACGTCTCCACCGTCTCTTTCCTGGGATTTGTCATTTCGGAGAACAGCATTCAGATGGACCCATCTAAGGTCAGTGCAGTCACGGAGTGGCCTACACCTTCCAATCAGAAACTTTTGCAACGATTTTTGGGCTTTGCCAATTTCTACAGACGTTTCATCAGAAACTATAGTTCTGTGGCTGCTCCACTGCATGCTTTAACCTCCCCCAAGGTGAAGTTCCAGTGGTCCCCCCTAGCTGAACAGACTTTCCGGAGGCTTAAGAGGAGCTTCACTTCGGCCCCTATTCTCACGCTTCCTGACCCACTTCAGCAGTTTGTGGTTGAGGTTGACGCTTCTGATGTGGGCGTTGGGGCAGTCATCTCTCAAAGGTCGAAGAGAGACAACAAGCTCCACCCCTGTGCTTTCCTGTCTCGGAAACTCTCCCCAGCCGAGAGAAACTATGATGTGGGTAACAGGGAGCTGTTGGCCATTAAGGTGGCTTTGGAGGAGTGGCGCCATTGGCTGGAGGGAGCCGAGCACCCTTTCCTAGTCTGGACCGATCATAAGAACCTTCAGTACATCAGGTCTGCAAAGCGCCTCAACTCCAGACAAGCCAGATGGGCCCTATTCTTTACCCGATTCAACTTCACTCTGTCATACCGTCCCGGTTCTAAGAACGCTAAAGCTGATGCCCTATCCCGCCTGTTTGATTCCGATCCAGCTCCTCGCACCCCCTCGCTAATCATTCCTCCCTCTTGTGTAGTGGGGGCAGTCACATGGGACATTGAGGAGAGGGTCAGGCAGGCGAGTGCTAATGTTTTGGTTCCCGACGGTTGCCCACGGAACCGGTTGTTTGTTCCTGACCCTCTTCTCTCCCAGGTCATCCACTGGGCACATACTTCCCTCCTCTCCTGCCATCCTGGCGTTCGCCGCACCATGTTCTTCATTAAGCAGCGGTTCTGGTGGTCCTCCATGGAGAAGTCGGTCAAGGAGTACGTGGCAGCCTGTTCAGTCTGTGCCCGGAACAAGACTTCCCGCCAGCGCCCTTCTGGTCTCCTACGCCCGCTTCCAGTGCCACATCGCCCCTGGTCTGACATCTCGTTGGACTTTGTCACAGGGTTGCCACCGTCCCAAGGTAACACCACTATTTTGACAATTGTGGATAGATTTTCGAAGATGGTCCATTTTGTCCCGCTGCCTAAGTTGCCATCTGCCAGAGAGACAGCAGAGGCAGTGTTGTTCCATGTTTTCCGTCTCCATGGTTTCCCTAGGGATGTTGTGTCAGACCGGGGTCCACAGTTTACCTCACAGTTTTGGAAGGCTTTCTGCTCGCTCATCGGTGCCACAGTCAGCCTCTCTTCTGGATATCATCCGCAGTCTAACGGCCAGACGGAGCGGCTGAATCAGGAGCTTGAGACCTGTCTACGCTGCCTGGTGTCTCAGAACCCTGCCACGTGGAGCACGCATCTTATTTGGGTGGAGTACGCACACAACACTTTGCCTAGTTCTGCTACTGGTCTCTCACCTTTTCAGTGTGCCTATGGATACCAGCCGCCGCTGTTCCCCGACCTGGAGAGGGAGGTCAGTGTTCCATCTGCCCATGCCCTCATTCGCCGATGTCATCGCACCTGGAGCCGGGCCCGCCAGGTGTTACTACGGAGTTCAGCCCGTTATAAGAGGATGGCCGATCGCCAACGTATCTCTGCTCCTGCCTACCAACCTGGACAAAGTGTGTGGCTCTCTACTCGAGACCTGCCCCTTCGAGTGGAGTCTCGCAAACTGGCTCCTCGTTTTGTGGGTCCCTTCCCAGTATCCAAGGTCATCAATCCTGTGGCAGTGCGGCTTCGACTACCTCGATCCTTGAGGGCCTATCCTACATTTCATGTGTCACGCATCAAACCGGTTAAAGTGAGTCCACTGGTTCCCACCTCCAGACCCCCTCCACCCCCCCGGTTTATTGATGGTGGACCTGTGTATACAGTGAAACGCCTATTGGCAGTTCGACCTAGAGGCCGGGGACGTCAGTACCTGGTTGACTGGGAGGGCTACGGTCTTGAGGAGAGGTCATGGGTCTCCACCAGTAATATTAGTAAGGACCTCATCCAAGACTTTCAACGCCAACATCCTGGACTACCTGGGACGTCAGGTGCCGTCCCTAGAGGGGGGGGGTACTGTAAAGCCCTAGCTAGCATGTTGATGTTTTGTTATTGTTCCTGTTCTCATTTTTGGTTTCTCTCATTTCAGTTTCAGCTTTCCTGCCCTGATTGAACTCCACCTGCTTCCCATCCCTAATTAGCCTCACCTGTGCCTCATTATCTCTCTCCCTCTGTCTACTTAGTCTGCATCCACATTCCCTTCAGTGCCAGTTCGTCTACGTTATTTCCTAGCGTTCCAGCAGTGTTTTCCTTGTGACCGATCTCCCGTGTATCGTACCTTGGCTATAAAGACCTTTTTTGCATCCTAAGCCTCTGTCTCTGAGTCGTGCTATTGAGTCCTCTACTTGTGTTCATTCAGTCGTTACATAATGTGTATGTAAATAATTTGAACTTTGTGAGAAGCTAATGTTCACACTGTTGTAAATACCTGAGTTCTATCTGCATTAATATTTGTTTTATGATTTGGCATAATATGGTTCTGATACACTTATTTTGGTACCACAAAAAACACACTGGATGCTGCACTAGGTCAGAAACCAGAGGAGACTGTGAAGTCCACCACAGACGGACCACTTTTGGACAAAATGTCCTCTCCATTAAAGGCAGCTCATTGTGGAATAGCCTCCCAACTAAGATACGGTATTGTTTCACTCTCAATAGTTTTAAAGGTCAACTAAAAGAATGGTTAAGAAACAAACAAACGTGCAATCACTGCTAAATGCACTTTAATACAGGGGTAACTCCTCTTGCACTTTATAGCTCTTTCTTTGCACTTTAGCTCTTTTATCTCCTCCTGCACTTTACATGTCGTTGCTGCTACATTGTACTACCTTGTGGCTTGTTTGCTGCTCATGCTCTTTCTGCATATCATGTATTTCTGTTTGCCATGTATATAAATGTTATGTTCATAAATGTTGTATGTGACGGGACTACGGATGGAAACTAGCTCAAAGCTTAAATCCGGCTCATTTACATTTAAAAGCATTATGTTGTTTAAAAATGTTCATTAATGTGCACTGTCCCGGTTCAAATACACGATTAAAAAAAAAAAAAAAAAAACAGTCTGCAGGGCTTCGTGGTGTCACTTCCGCACATGGACGCGCCACAGTTTCGCGCTGCGAGGCTCCACGAGCGTCTCGGTTGTCAGAGGTGCGTTCAGTGCCCTGCTGCCGTGTGGACATTTCAGCTCTCTGTTTACTCTCTGTATGTCCAAAAGTCATGGATGAACCAACCGAAGAACAAACATACAGATTTTTTTCGTTCAGCATGTCAACTCAGCTCCACTGTGACAAAGAAAGAAAGAAATCACTGCTGTGTTATAACTCAACCGGAGAGGAAAGGAAATGTTGACAGGTTGAGGTAAGTGTTACAATAAGCTTTTGTCCTTCATGTAAACGCTGAAAATATTGTTTTTTAATGAATAAAATAATACACACACACACACACAATGATAATAGAAAATCCAGTGATTATTACATTATTTGAATAATCGTTTTCAAGTTTTTTTAGTTGCCCCCTCCCTTAAATGATATGATATGTTTTGTTTGACGTTATTCCCAAACGCCCATGGCTTCGGTTCCTGTTTTTGCAAGTCACCGTATCTGGCACCCCAAAGTGCTGACGTGCAGCAGCAGACAGATGTAAGCAGTCTGCAAAGTAGACAAAATTAGCCTGTAAAATATCACCGATCCAAATCTGCGAAATCTGAAATCTGACAAGATAACATTTTGCAGATGGCGGATGGTCATCTCATCTGATTATTTATTTTGGTGACGAAGCAAGCGATTGCAATGGAAAGTGAGCTCAGACAATGCTGATATAGAGCACCGATAAAAGAGGTAGACAAAGTTCACCATAACACAATAGGACTAATGATAGGCCTACTGCCTTTCTTTGAGTTTTACAAAACAAGCACGGTTTATTTATTAAACAGGCAGTGTTTCCTGATTTCAGAAAGTGTCATTTCCTTCTGGGAATGAGCTTGCTTTAATCCTCAATTGGGCTGTTTGTCTAGGTTTTGGGCAGAGCTGGCTGGTATGAGGGGACTGACCGGACTGACATGAACTGATATTCATGACAGCGCTGTAACAAGATCCTGCAGTTATATTCGGAGCAGGGCAGAAACGGGACACAATGCACTTTGCAGCACAAGACTCTGACGTGTTTACTCAAATGTACCTTAGGCTAACCAAAATATGCTTATTGATTAGCGTCACTTCGGACTGCCATCAGCACCTAGCAGAGTGGACCTCCACACTTTCACCCTACAACGTCTCCTGTGGTCTGCCTAACTGATCTGGTGTCAAAATGTCCTCACAACGGGGAGACATTCCAGGTAACGCAGGATTTTTGTTATATTACTGAAATAATCTTAATATTTGTTATTTGTAAAAGTATTTCGGACTGACATGAACTGATATTCATGACAGCGCTGTAACAAGATCCTGCAGTTATATTCGGAGCAGGGCAGAAACGGGACGCTATGCACTTTGCAGCACAAGACTCTGACGTGTTTACTCAAATGTAACCTTAGGCTAACCAAAATATGCTTATTGATTAGCGTCACTTCGGACTGCCATCAGCAGCTAGCAGAGTGGACCTCCACACTTTCACCCTACAACGTCTCCTGTGGTCTGCCTAACTGATCTGGTGTCAAAATGTCCTCACAACGGGGAGACATTCCAGGTAACGCAGGATTTTTGTTATATTACTGAAATAATCTTAATATTTGTTATTTGTAAAAGTATTTCGAGCTTAGTGGCAATGTCAGAAAAGTTTCTCTATGTGAAATAAAACACACAAACAATCAATACTTCTTTACTCCCATCTTTCAGCACTTGAGTCTGGCACATCTTCTGGGCTCTTCGGTGCCTTTTCTTGTCCAATTGGAATGAACCGGCGCACTGTAAGCTATGATGACCTCATGAATGCCAACATGCATTCGCCACCTTCAGACTTCAACGTTAACATCTTTTGGAAAGACCCTGTCATCCCACAGCACAAGTTCAGGAACACTGCAGAGGTGCTTTCCTGTTTGTTCTTACTATAATACCCAAAGTGTTTTGAACTGGTAACTCTAACAAAATGTTTGCCTGGGCTTGTGGGGAACTTCCATAAGCATGATGCAGGACTGACAACGTTTCATTTGTTCTCACTTGTTGTGTAACTGGTTTGTAAATGAATCCTTACAGTATAAACTTGTATCACCAGGAAAGTGGGAGTGCTGGGAAGTTGGTGACTTTTGAGGCAGGGGCACCAGTCAATCCCCAAGTTCCTGTTGTGAAAGCCAAAGCCACCTCTTTGATGAGCACACTTATGATAAGTAAGTCAACTAAAACCAGCTGAAACCCTAATTGAAGACCATTTATTTTCAATTTGATCAATAACAACACACACAAGTTAATGACACAATTAATTGATTCACGTCACATCAATGTGTTAGTCTCACCTTGTTCAAATTGTACTTCCTTGGATGGCACATTTTAATAAAAACAATCTACAGAGCATCATATTTAAAACATTGACTAATTTGTACTGTGGACTGTTTACCTTTCCTCACTTAGAGCAGACCCAGGACAACCTCCATAGGTTTGAGCACCAGGCAGGGCTCACTGATGCTGGGTATTCTCCCCACAAGGGGCTTTCTGCTCAGGAGACTCGCTTTCACCGACTGGGTGACGGCACCTTGCCAGTGAGTATGAACAAATGTTTTGTAAAAGACTCTTGATGTGCAAGGAGCAAAGAAAAATATCTCTAATGCCTCAAATAATAATAAATACCTGAAAATAAATACATATCACACCTCAATGTGTGACATGTGCTTTAGAGAATGCACAACCTGAATAAGTAGAGAGAAAACACAGTTTCTTGTACATTGTTGGTTAATTTCAATGTTTTCGCGAAAATGAAAGGTCACACGTCTGACCTGGAGTGTGTTTTGCCTAGAATGTCATATAGAATCCCGGATTAAGCATGACTATGTGAGGGTATGGGTTCTGTTGTTTTTTCACTTTTATTCATGTTATTCCTCTACAGCTGTACATGTTTGGCAAGACTGTTTGTATTCCGATTTATTGGATACTATGGGCTTGGGAATAGTATCACATTATCACACAAGCTCTTCATTATTTCACCATTTCACATCTCTTCATTTAATTATCCTAATACATTGTGCTAACATCCCATAAACTGATGCAATAATAATTTCTCATGCATAAAAATAAAACTTGCACAATTATAAATACATGATAGTATATTTAATTAAACCAGTGTAAAGATTGTTAGGCTTTATATTTGTGCATGTGATGTAAGGTATAGCAAAGAAGGTTTGAAAGTTACAGAGGGTTGCATACAAACTGTGTGTGGATGTACAGAGGTTTTCTTTTCTTTTCTGTCAAGATTGGTCCAGTTTTCCCATTGACAATGGCCCACTCACGTTTCAAGTGCACTCAGCTGACCTATAATAACATTCCAAAGTGATCACAAATAGGGACTATATTCCTACTAAAATAGTGATAGAGTCTGTGTTAATACTCAAATAAGCAAGTATTAGTGTGAAAACAATATGATAAAACCAATTATTTAACATGTTGAAAATCCTTGTAAACAAATGACGTAATCTGCTCTATGCTGGTTTAATAAAATGGAGTTTCCGGTAGAAATGTTGCCAAGCAACGCCCTTAAATGAATCGAGCCCCCTTGTGTTGTCAAACGGACCAATCAGCGAGCTCCTAACAAAATACACTATTTGGAGGCCCTTTCTGGTTTATGCCGACGCTACCGTTTTTGTTTTCGCGAAAAAAAACAATTAAACAGCTAATTATGGATAAAATTAAGGAATCTGTAGGACTGGAGCGTCAAAGAAAGATTATCATAAAAAGGTATGTCGATTAATTACTGTGTAAGCTGTAGCTATGTGTACACTCCGACCGAAAAGCAGGCCGTTAGCACATCATCACTGTAGGGCAGCTAGCTGGGCTAGCATTCGTGCTAACATGAGTAAACAAACTAACGCTAGTTCTTCATACATTATATATCTCCCCGCCAATGTCAGTGCAACTACTGTGGTTATAGCTGGGTCAGTAAAAGTTGATTCACAGAAACTACGGCTGGCTAAGTAAGAAACGTAAACGTAGTGTGTAACTTGATGGTTATTATAGCAGCTGACGTTAGTTGTTAGGTTGGAGTCCTGCAGTCCTCTTTCTACATCCATGGCCTGCCACGGTTACCGTAGCTCAGCATCAGTTAATGATCCTTCAGATCCCATTCTAACTTGGTCTCCTGAGGCAAAGTAGCCTCAGCTGTGCGCCTCATCTTTTCTTTTGGTTTTCATTCTAAAGAGGCTATCTGGACTGAGGCCCAAGCTAGCTGAATTATATAAAACGAGATTACAACCAGCAATAGCTATACTTGCTTTCACATTTGCTATCGCTTTATTTAAAACTAACACACCACTAGCTGCCCGTTTGCCTGCCCTGTGCTTACTTTAAGTGTCAATAAGAAAATTACTTATTTACTTTTACTCATATTTGTTATACAATATACCTGCTTCGTTGAGGGGCACAGGGTCTAACATGCTTTAATGTTTTCTCTTTTCCCCTGCCCCAATACTTAAATCACACAACAACAGTTGAACTGTCAAAATGTTGTTGTGTCCTGATATTCTGGCTGAGGTCCAGCAGGGTGGGAGCAGTGATGAAGTCCCAGGATACAAACCAAAATAATATACAGGCCATTAAAAGCCAAGGGGGCACTCTTTCCTTTGCATGATGGCCGTTACCCTATGCAGAATGCATGACCACATCTACTATAAGATATTGATATGTGTATGGAAGGACCCTCAAGATAGGATGGGGAAATGCCCACATTGAATGGAAACTTAACTTCAATACTCTAACAGAAAGAATTACAGGAATAAATCTAAAGATAAAGGCAAGTATTGTGGAAAATACATTTGGCTACTTAGAGTTGTAAGGACTGTTATTTGTTGCTTTTATTGTCATTCGTACATTACACGTACTACAGTGTAGTTATGTCGATGAAAAGCTTAGGTCCCAGGCTCCTCCAACAGTGCAACACAATAAAACAGATAAAATAGTGCAAGTAAATACAATAAAATAGAATAGAATAGAAGTAGTGCCATAAGAGTCTAAGTGATACATAATTTGTAAGTTACAAACAGGTGAATGTTATGGATGTTCTTAGTTGCAAATCCACTGCAGGTTATATTCACTTGGACCGGTGGTAGGCAAGGTGTTTTTTGAGTGAGTTTGTATTAGTATGTGTAGTTTATATTCATTGCTGTAATGATCTTCAAATAGTATGACTTATTGGCTCAGCGCTTACATTATGAAACTATGTTATTTATTTAGAATATTAATAAAGTAGTTCATCGTCCACTTTTCTTGTTTTTATTATACAGCAGTCCTCTCTTTGTGTCTTACCTGTCTCTCTTTTCTAGCCCACGACACATTTGCACAGCATGTTTTCGCTCCAACAATGTGTGTGTGACGCACTTTCTTGGTCTGCAGGTCCAAAAAAACACTGCTGACCTTCTGTCATTGTGTATTCAGGGAGAGTTTGCTCTTTAAAAAAAAGATCAATGCTCTATTGCAAACATTGGCTGTTAGTGTGACACAGCTTTGCCTCTTGTACAGAGTGATACATCAAAATTGATCATCCAGACACTTGCCGTTATTTATATCAAAAGATTTTGCAATCACTTTTCAATGTACCTTGTGAATCTAGAACATAGAAGATAATCTTTGATTGTTTCTTTCATTGCTTAATTTTCTCTCTTTGCAGAAGTTGAGAATGCCAACCGGGGACTTCAAGGAGGACAGGTGTACAACATCAGCACAATCCAGCCCCAGTGTCACCCCTTGTGTCACCCCTTGTGTCACGCCTTCTGTCACCCCTTGTGTCACCCCCTCCGTCACCCCCAGCGTCACCCCCTGTGTAACTCCCCACACATCACCGGCTGTTAGTCGCAGGTAAGCATCAAGCTACTGAGATATTTTTTGCTCGTGTTGTTATGTCATTTTTCAACATGGCTCAAATGATGATATGTTCATGTTTTTCTTTTTGCTTGCCCTAAATACAGGAACTGGTTCCAGCTGAGTCCTGCACCTTTTCTTGCCCCACCAGAGCTCACCAGTTCCAACCCCACCACAGACATGGGAGGAAATGAGGGAGGAGGAGGAGGAGGAGGAGGAGGTGGAGGAGGTGGAGGAGGAGGAGGAGGAGGAGAGAGGTGGAGCTTCTTTGGAACTCGATCTGTGGTACAGAAGTCCCCCACTGACCCAGGCTGTGAAACCGGCTCAGGTGAGACATTTATGGCGCATTTCCACTGCAGGGCCTCGCACGGCTTAGTACGGTATAGTTAGGCCTTGGTAGGCCAGGCTCACTTTATGCTGCGTTTCCATTACAGTTTAGGAGCTGGGGCAGTAACTATAGTAACGCAGTGTAGGTGGAGCCGTGACGTCATCTTCAATGCGAAACACAAAACCAACATCAGCCGTTAGCTGTTAGCACTCGGAGCTCACAGCTCCTCATATCTGTTCAGAAACTAGACAAAAGTTAAACAAGTACAAACCACAGACTGCCTGTGTCATGGCGAATACAGTCGCTGCTTTATTTATGTCTGTATAGGCCGTTGTTGTGAGTGTGGACGGTCGGAGCATATACAATGTTAGCTTAGCCGATCTCCATTTAGAAAACACGCATTTTAAAAGGTTTTTCGCCTGCCGTCTGTCTGCAGACTTGTCAAAGCATTAATTCATGGTTTTTACTAACCGGTATCAGTATGTTGTTACTTCGGCATCATTTTCAAACGTGTATTACAATTAAATCACGGTAAAATATGTTCATTTTGTTGTAGTTGCCAGCGATTCTCTCACTAGTTTAGCATACTCAGCCCGGTTGTTGGCCCGGAAAGAACCTCGATTTTGGAGAGCCAGAAAAACTGTGAAAACGTACCCGCTAGCCGGAACTACGCCTAGTGGAAACGCAACCAAAAACGGGCCGGGCACAGCACGGCACGCTTAAACCGCGCTGTAGTGGAAATGCGCCATTATACCCAATGTTGCTTTTGGGTAGGGATTGGTATCGTTAAGGTTTTAACGGTACTACTACTTTTATCGATACCGCTTATCGATCCGGTCCTTTAACGGTACTCTTATCGGTTCTTTTGGAGAAAAAGAGAAGGTAAACTAACTAAACAAATTGTAAACAAAATTAACATTGCTTTTTATTTAAATTCAATAAATAATATTTCACATCAAAAGAAACAACAATGTTTTAACAAATCGTATTAAATAATCTTATGACAGAACTGTAAACAGAATAGCTGAAACTTTAACAAAATAAATAGCTCAGTTACCTCTAAACATCAACCAATGTTTGAATAATTGAGTTAACTCCGTGTGTTGCTGCTAGCATACATAATATACCTGACGTGGAAACGTTACTCGTGGATGGGGCTACAGAGCTACTAGAAAGACAGTCGAACCCGGTGCATTTCTCCGTCTGAATGTGGTGCACTTTTGCTAAATGTTTAAACAAATTGCTCGTGTTACCGCCCTTACATGCTAAACTCTTATTGCACTTTTGGTAAGGAGCATTGTCCACATGGAGACGGGTAAAGTTGAACCACACCTCGGAGCGAGTTCTCTCCGCCATCTCCGCCGTGTGTGTGTGTGTGTGTGTGTTGCATGCATGTAGCAGCCACGTGTGTGTAAACTCCCCCGCCCCCTCGCACACAGACGGGAGAGAGAGAGAGGTCTTTCGTCTGGATTGGAAAGATCGAAAATACTAAAAACAATCAGACACATTTTGCAGTCTTTTTGCATATAGAAACAGAGTTGGCGACACTAAAACTGCAATATAATGTTTGTGTAGCATAATACATGACATATATTTTAGATGTCTCCAGTACCGACAAAAAGACCGATAACGTCGGAGCTTAACGGTACCACGGTCTTTAATAATTCAGCACCGGGGCCCGTTTAATACCGGGGCTCGGTACCCATCCCTACTTTTGGGTCTCGACTGTATCACGATATTTATGCCTAGTTGATTGGATAGAATCTCAAAGCAAGAGGTTTTACATGTGCCACCCAAACGTTTTCTGTATAGGAAGGTATAAGTAAGGTAGCCCCACCAACCAAAAATAACGACACAATATGGCATCCTCACTTATATTACTAGTACTCCTATTATGTTAAGACTTTCCTCTCGTCCTCGTCTTTCCTTCAGGCTTCTCATTGCAGTCCTACTTCGGCATGCAGAAGTCCTCCACCATGGATAGCACCAACACCCAGGTCAACTTCAAGGTGGACGACCCTGCCAACTTCATGCCCCCGAAGATTGAAATCTCAGGCCTCGATGCCAACCGAGCTCCCACACGGCCTCACAAACTGAAACCTCGGGACATGAATGTTTTAACACCTTCGGGCTTCTGAAGCCAAAACCAGCTGTATAGTGACACCTCTTTCCTCTGCCTGGGAGCTCCCCCCCCCCCCCCCCCCCCCTCCCCTCCCCCTGCATTTCACTATGGCTGAGAGTACTGCAGACCACCCGTAGTAGTAGCTCATCCGGCCCCTGAGACATCACCGCACTGTACCTCCTCTCAACTACTCTGATGGACTGCCATCTTCTGTTATCCCCCCCACTTCCTATCTCTTCCGGCTCACTTGTCCAAATTAACATAATTAATTTGTCATTCCCTATGATGGTATTGCTTTGTAGTATAATTATTGTTATTCTGTTACGTAATGGGTGCATTGGCATTGCTTTGCTGTCTTTGTTCCATTGTCGATGATGACATGAGATTGAAGTTGTTGAAGTCTTTTTTCAGTCCTTTGCTCAAGTTATTCACTTTAGCATTGCCTCTGGGGAAATGAACCAGCTATTTCAGTCATAGTGCTCATTTGCCTCATTTTGTATTTTCTTATGTTATTTTGAAGAAGCTCACAGATTTGTAGTTGTAGTGCTTTCTCTGTTAGCATGCAGAGTATAGTGTGGGATGACTGATTTTGTGCCTAAACTTGCAGCATGTTTGCTTTATCGAAGTACACTTTTTGTTTTTATTATATCGAAGAACATATTATTTTACCCCGTGAGAAAGTATGACTGAAGTGATTTTCTAATGATTATTTCCCCTTAACTAAGTTCATACAGTTCTTCTTTAAATCAATCATCATTGTTCATTCTCAATAGTAGTGTAATGGGTTCATTACATGTTTTACTTGCATTACTATATTATTTAACATGTTGTAAAAATACAAAATATTGACATGGTACATTTTTTATTTTCTATCACAATTCAAGAATCCCTGCTGTTCTATTTGAAAAAGTTGTTGAATTCCAAAAAGTTATTGCACAAGGGAAATAGTCCCCTACTTAGATCTGTAAATAAATCTGATTCAAGCTAAATTCTTCCTTGTTCTTTTTTTCATGGAAACATATACAACAATAAAGTACACAGGGCCCTTCGGAGCACCCCGGTCCTTTATTATATTATTATTATATCTATGTTTATTAATATATATATATATGTATATATATATATATATGTATATATATATATCTATCTCTGTCTCTATATCTATAATCTGTGTCTGTCTCTATCTCTCTATCTCTATCTCTCTGTGTCTCTCTCCCCTCTCTCTGTGTCTGTCTCTCTCTCTCTCTCTCTCTCTCTCTCTCTCTCTCTCTCTCTCTCTCTCTCTCTCTCTCTGTGTCTCTCTCCCCCTCTCTCTCTCTGTGTCTCTCTCTCTCTCTGTCTCTCTCTCTCTCTCTCTCTCTCTCTCTCTCTCTGTCTCTGTCTCTCTCTCTCTCTCTCTCTCCTTGTGTCTCTCCCCCTCCTCTCTGTGTCTCTCCCTATCTCTCTGTGTCTCTCTATCCTATCTCCTTTGTGTCTCTCTCTCTCTCTCCCCCCTCATCTCTCCCTATCTGTCCTCTCTCCTCTGTGTGTTCTCTCTCTCTCTCTCTCTCTCTCTCTCTCTCTCTCTCTCTCCTCTCTGTCTCTGCGCGCGTGCACCCTCAGTTGTCTTCCCTGTGCCTCACACCATCATGCATTTCTTTTTGTAAGACAATTTTTGTGCATTATGTGGCTGTATCTTGGAAACAACCAATTTAGTCTCAAACATTATTTTTGTATTTATGTTTATTAAAATAAACAACGGCAGAATAAGAATTGTGCCTTGAAAAAACGGCCTAATAATATTAAACTGCCATTTTCTCATATTTCATATATTTGCTTTGCTGAATAACTCATGGATGTGGAGTGGACGGCAATATAAAATAGTAACTCATTGTTTACCATTCCTTGGAGTAAAAGTAGCTACATTAATTTGTAGATTTTCCTGTCATTGAAAAACATAAACCTGTATCCAACTTTAATTTTCTATTGCGAGGATATCCCTGTTGTGATTCAAGGATTTTACACTAACCATCAGCCACAGTCTTTGTCCAGAAGATGGCGCAATAGGCTCACAATACAGACACGGTTGTTGGAAATGAAGTTGTACTCAGTCTGTTTCTTATGATTCATTATGTGTTATATTACCCAGATTACAATCAAGAAAAAGGAGTGTTTATGCTGGAATCAAATTAAGTATTATCAAGCCAACAGGGGTGCAAGGGTGATAGATAATCAGGAAATGAATTGTTGCCACAGACCCATGAATGGCAGGGGTGAAGAAAAACGGGAGAATATAAAACTATGTTTACTATCATCATTTATTGCGTGCACACTGATGTAATGAATATAGCGTCATTGTTTTGATTTGTAACAAAAGTTATATTGTCAAAAAATAGCTGCCAGTTGTAAACTACCCAAGCCCCCCCCCCCCTCTCCTCTCCTCTCCTCTCCACATCAAAGCAAACATCCAGGCCATCCAGGAAAATGAGCCAGCAGTGTGACACAGTAGGGAGCAGAGTCTCTCCCCCCCTGGCTCAGGGTTTACAGCCTTGTTAAAGATCTGCAGCTATTGTCTGCTGCTTGTGTGTGTGTGTGTGTGTGTGTGTGTGTGTGTGTGTGTGTGTGTGTGTGTGTGTGTGTGTGTGTGTGTGTGTGTGTGTGTGTGTGTGTGTGTGTGTGTGTGTGTGTGTGTGTGTGTGTGTGTGTGTGTGTGTGTGTGTTGGTGTGTGTGTGTGTGTGTGTGTGTGTGTGTGTGTGTGTGTGTGTGTGTGTGTGTGTGTGTGTGTGTGTGTGTGTGTGTGTGTGTGACCAGAATGGTTTTGTTTTACCAATGATGTCTTTGTTAATACCCCTGATGTTGTCTTTGTTGACACCAACCACAAGGAGGTGCTATTGTTAGAAGTAGGCTGTGCCTTTGACCTGTACATGGACCAGGCTTTCCAGGACAAGTATATCAAATACCAACCACTGCTCGATGTGATAAGTTTGTGAGGCGTTTTGCTGAACAACATGGTAATCGCCGCATTCAGCTGTAATAGGCATGCCAACTTGATGCTCTGCTCACGGATGACTCGATGAGCATAACAAACTGTTAAGATGATGACCTTATGTGTGTATATATTTTTTTCTTTGTGGAGGTCTGCCCCCAAAAAACAGTTTTAAGTCCTGAGAAAGTAAAATAAGACGGTGTGTAAAACTACACTGCCCAGCCAAAAAAAAGTAACTACTTTGATTTAACTAGGCCAGTAGGTAAGGGCTTTCCACTGGATAATAACTGCAGCGATGTATGTTTTAGCTGAATACACGTTTTTTTTACCCTAATTGATGCAGTTAGTCACTTCTTTAATGTTTGTTCTTTCTGATGTAAAGTCAAGGTTGTAACTGTTTGCAGTAAAGTCGTGGGGCGCTGAACTGTTCGTTTGAATCTTTTGAATTTTGATATATGATAGTCATTTGTCTTTCAAATTTGAAGGAGGGTGAGCAAGCATCTTGAGGAACATTCATCATTAACTCCTCCAAAAAATATAGTTTATTCAATAATAAATGAATATGTGAATCATAACAGTGATTGACAGCTGATAGGAATGATATGATTGTTAATAGTATCATATTCATTCAGAGAAACATCGATGAGACAGTTAATTCATGTACTTATTGCAGCAGTCTTCATAGATTTGGTACCCCTGCGGGTCTAAGAGTGAAACAAACTCATTCAGTTATTGTTCAGTTAAAATTCATTAAATGATGTCTGCCACCTTATATATTTATATGTAAGGCTTTACTGATGTGCCACAATAATGTATCCTGATGTTATTGAGTTAAAATATCAATATTGTGGCTTTCCAAGTTAACATTGATTGATACGACTGAGATTAAATCAGCATATACTTCTGCCAGGGGATGCCACCCCTCAAAATCTCCTGCCACCCTCTTGCCACCCCATGAATATTTTTCTAGATCCGCCCCTGGATATAGCATACTCATATTCGGAAGTCTTGGCCATGTATTTAAATACACCATGATTGGCCTGAGAATTGCTGGAATGTCAAAGAGAAAAGCCAAACAAATAGCCAAATATTGCTCTGTTTCAGCTATTATTGGCAGCTTAGCCGTGTGGAGAAGGAGGTGCTATGTGTTCCCTTGCGTGTTCTGTGCTGCTTAGCCCCGATATATTTGATTCCCTGTCTATGTAATATCATTTGTGGAACCAAATAAAGTGTGTGTGTGTGTGTGTGTGTGTGTGTGTGTGTGTGTGTGTGTGTGTGTGTGTGTGTGTGTGTGTGTGTGTGTGTGTGTGTGTGTGTGTGTGTGTGTGTGTGTGTGTGTGTGTGTGTGTGTGTGTGTGTGTGTGTGTGTGTGCACATGCTTGTGTGAGTGCACAGTTTATTTATTTCAGGGTGTGCCCTTCGCCCTAAATGTGTTACTAACAGAGACGCACCAGGATGCAATTGCAGTACACTTATGTTTAATGCTGAATTGTGTTCCAAAGTAAAAGTCAATGACACATCTTCCTTCTGATATAGTGCTATAGTTTTAACAGAAGCCATTCAAAAGATCACTTACTTTCTCACCATGTTTAAACTTTGACTCTCATTTATTCAGCCATTATCTGGAGCTCCTAAAGGGAACCCCCCTTTAACGTAATTACAGGCTGTTGAGTGTCCACGTCTGGTTTTTGGGTAGTGCTGCAGGAGCGAAGGTGAACATCAAATAGGACAGGCAAGTGCAGACAGAGAGCTTTCACTCAAAAGCTGGAGGTGGACTGTCATTAGTGGCAAAAAAAGTGATGGATGACTCAAGATGACAGGCAGGCCGAAAGAAGATAGGATGAACAAAGTTAAGCCATGGGGAAAGAAGATTTGGTGGTAAAGTTTGGAAAAATTGCAAACAAGGACAGAGATGAAGTCCTGTGGCACATTTATGTTAGAGGAATGCAACAATGCCAGTATCACTAAACCAATGACGTACAGCAGTAAAGAGAAATTCAGGGTGGGGGAGTCTGGGAGGGAGAGGAACAAGGAAATATAGAGCAAAGGGTGGATTCCCCCAGCAGTCATGACATAATACAGATGGCTCTCTCTTTGGGTCCAACATGACGTGGTTTTCTTCTGTGCTACCCGCCCCCCTATGCTACGCTAAATCACTGAGCTCACTCACAGATGTGCAATGACAAACTCCACCCTGCCAGGCTGACCACGCACCAAAACAAACCCCACATCTCATCTGACTCGACACACTCACTTAGACCTACTCATCCTTATTTTGAAATACCGATCGGGTGACAGTTTTCCATAACAATTACAAAACAATGACTAATGGGCTATATTTAAATTCTTCAAACCCATAAAACAGGATTTATACCTGCTTGTTTCGCCAAGCTATGATGTGGTTACATAAAGAAGAAACAAATCCAGTGTCAGTTTAGAAGAAGAAAAAAAAAGCAAGATCAGCTTGCTCCAGTGATCCAGGGTTTTTGTGTTTTTTGGAAAAAAGGTCAACTTTGATGAAGGTTGTGTGCACGTTTGTCTCATACATGTAGGAGTGGTACTGTATGAGCACTTTATGTCAGGATGACTCCAGGAATATGCCAGGAAATGCTCTTACCAGCTCTTAAATGCTTCAGTTCAGTTACAGGAATTTAGCAATAAACTGATATCGGACTGCTGATACCTGACCTATTCACAGTCATTATCCTCAAGTCGTAATAAACTCTCACACAGGCTCCTGCACTGCTCCTGTGTTTTTTCAGGATCAGCAGTAGGCTACATTAGATGTTTAAGCTATAAAGATAATCAAGAGGACTTTCCGTAAGATAAAGAATAACAATAAGAAGTTACTGTGATAAGATAATGATGTTCAAGAGACAGACAACACATTATTACTGGAATTACATTTAATGTGTTATAAATACAGTTTATCTTTTACATCAAACTCACTTGTTTGTGTAAGAAGCGTCACTCACCACAATGATGACTAAAGTATTGTTTTTTGGATGTTATTGAAACCCCGA